AAATCTTCTAGTTTTGTAAGCCATATCAACTTTTCGAATTTGAGGAAGCAAGTTATTGCTTCGGAAAGTGTAAAAACTCGTGCTCATCATGAATTTTCCTCGTTAATTGATCTAAATTTGTTATTTCTTATAACTTTTTGTAATTTCAATACTGATTAGAAAGAGCTCTTCACAAAACTCCCAAATCTGCTTTCAGATTGAAAATTCGTCATATTTGAAGAAAGTTATAATCATTTGAATATTTGTTCAAATTTCAATAGCTTCTTTCAACTGAAGGGGGACGTGTAAATTGAGAACCATAATCTGTGTAGTACTAGAATTTGGTAAGTCTTGTGAAGGAAATAATAAAGAAGAGATGTTGTCATAGTATGCCATTTTTAGTGACTAGTTTGTCGTTTTTTGCTCCGTTTCTCGTTTGCTCGTTTGGTAGGACTCATCAATAATGATCATTCTTTGACTTTTTCACTTTTGTACTTCTTAAACGAATTTTTTGGTGGACGGGGGTAGCAGGGCTTTTTTATGAACAGTTTTGGGGGAGAATTAAACAACCTTTTCATAGTTCGGCTTTTGAAGAGGGTCGTTTCATGGACTTCGGCGGGAGGGAGGGGGGTCGTATTTCCAAATTTTCCTCGACGCCTCGCTTGACCCTGCCTGAACTTCAACTCATAAAATTTCGCAAGCGAAAGTCGATCCACGAATCGGCCTCGCCAGCGCATCAGTAAGGATTGGGCAAAAGACACGTAATGAGGCTCCCTGTGAATTTTTTGATCTCAGCGTCCAAAAGAATGAGTTAGAAGCGTTCACATCTACAACAATTTTCAACTCATGGCAATGTCCTTCATGTTACCTGCGGAATGCTCCTTACTTCTTCTACTCATTTTCACAGTTTGCCAGTGTGGTATCATTTAGTGCTGCTTTCTGGGCACTACAAATTGGAAAGGAAATGTTTTAGGGTTGTGGCTGATTCATGACATTTACCACCATCACCTTGAAATGAGCATTATGGACCAGTTGAAATGAAAGTTGCAAATACCAAGTGTTACAATAATCATTGATGTCACGAAGGTGAAAGCTGAAAGGTAGCGGCAGTAGTTCACTTCAGACCGACCACATTCGTGGGCAATATAGAAAGTGCTCAATGGAGGGTTCCGCGCAGGGTCTGTCCTATCGTTGTTACTTTTCGAAAAATTTTTACGACCCCCTCCCCCAACGTGGATTTGATACGACCCCCTTTTCCATACCTCCACCATCTCCATCTTCCGTCAAAACCCCGCCCACTTTTTCCTCCAAAAATGCCGTCGAGCGGGGGGGGGTATAGTCACTCTGAAACGGTAATATCTCCAAAAATTTCCCTCTCATTTCCCACTTACCTTTTTACCTATACTCGCACTACTCTTTCTAACACTCAAAAGGCAAGGGATATACGCCCGCTGAAACGGCAAATTTTTATCCTGCGCGCCCTCCACTCGCCCAGCCTACTACCCACGAAATCTTAGTTTCACCTCAATCCCACACGTGATTTCGAGCGACTAAAGTGGGTACGACCCCCCCCCTACAAACTCAACCAGGTACGACCCCCCGTTGTTACTCGTAACAACGTAGGGTTGACCCTGTTCGCGATGATGTCGGTAATCAAAGAAGAGAAAACCTGCTCAGTGAAAAGACAAGGGGATCTCCTGAGGATGCGGGGCGAGCGAGCGGACATTAAAAAACTGCTCTCATTTCTTCAATTCTGGGCCGCTTTTTCTAATGTTTTTTTTTTCATCCGTGCACCACCGGCGGATTCTTTGATTTCTTATACGGCTACCTTTGATCACTCCTTAACCTTCCATGGGGCGCCCCTTCAATCGATTTCCGCTTTCACCTCCTTCAATGGGTAAAATGCTTACAATGAATCCCAGCTCCACCAACTGTCTCTTCCCACAACGATTCTGCAGAGCTTTGCGTAAGTGAAGTAAAATTGCAATTGACCGGCAAACCATCCTAAGAACTTCGCGTCTTTGTAATTCCACACATCATTATGGATGAACATCTCAAACTCACTTCGTTTCATTAGGGAAATCCTTCCCAGCTTCTCCACCAGAGAACATTCCGGCTATGTTGGAATAAGCAGAAATGAGCGTCCGATTACACATGCCGAGATCGAAGTATCCTGCCAAAGAGGATGTAGAGAACGACGTTACCCTATCTAAGGGCGAATGTCAGACTTTGCCGAAGTTACGCGCCGATTCGCTAAGGCGTCTTGCGCTCGCCGGTCGTGCAGTGAATCGACTTATTGGCTGGACCCGTGCAACGCGACGCGTTAATTTAGGACTGGAAGGATTCGCAGCGAAATCGCCACCCATGCGAGATGCGCGGTAAGTATCGGTATATCCGGCGCGCACTTAGACAAGACGTGCTGACTAAACAGGTGCCTAAACTCGCTTGGTACAGCTCTGGTTTTTCTTTCAGAAAGGCCGACTACGCAAATTTACCAGTACAACACTTCGGACCGCTGCTATGCGCTTATGCCAAGAAAGGATGTACAGTCCCACTGTAGGCGCTTTCTAGAACATTCCCCAACGCGTTACTGTTGACGCATTCCCATCTGAAACAGGTGAACTTTACCTCTACGGTGTCTATGAAACCATTGTTGATAATTTTGTCGAATACACCTGAGAGGTCAACAGGGACAGCAACTCTTCCGGTGGCCACATAACCTCCGAATGAGGGATTCGCGTGTGCTAATTAGCGCAGATGCAGCAATCAACAATGGCGAGTGGTCTGGGTTTGGGGATGTGCTCACCTCTAAGATACAAAAAAATTATGACCTGCAATGTGTAACCTCATCAATGTGCATTCTTTTCTACACAGCGACAAAAAGGAATGATATATCTTGCCGAGGTATTAACAGTGATTTCATATTTTCAAACAAATAGGAAACCATACACCTCGAAGCCCATACAGCCCATATGTGGGCTGCCTGTCGACCACGTAAGACCTTTCAGCCCACATTTTGTAAAAAAAATTACCAAGTTATTTTTTGTTTTCTTTTCCATTTCAGTCGATGAGGCTTGTTCTGCATCGAGGTTCATAGTAGTATTTTTTCTTTCAAATTTTAATGATTTAATGATTTATTATCGGAAGTTGATGAGATTCCTCAAAAACTTCAGTGAGGTCCCATGCGGTCGTAAAAAGTAAATCATGTGCGGTCTCCAACGTGTTAACATCAAAACAAAATCTTGGAAGCTTTCGAGATTTGTTGTCCGATTATTGCGATAATTTTTCACTTCCCAGTCGGTTTCGCCCTGGTTTGGCATTGCTCTTATGATGTGCCGGGTTCTTTACCATTAGACGTATCACAAATGGACAATTGCTTATCCCCTTATCCTTTTTTCTTTCTCGAATCTGTTCTTTACCACCGAAACAATATCAGTAATCATTTTCTCCTATTAAAAGTATCCTCTGGCTCAGAAAACCAGAATCGCGTCGAGTGCAGACCACACACCACAAGTGACGACGGCAAATGTAAATGTTTTCTGCCAATGAAATGATTAGCCTGTTGCAGTTGTATTCTATCAGTTGTCACTAATTACAACTATCATTTACCAAAAATCAGCTATCACTATGAACACTAAACCAGATTTACTTGGAGGCCGTCGTCACTTGTGGTGTGTGGTCTGCACTCGACGCACTTCTGGTTTTCTGAAAGAGAGGGTAGATAACCTTGTTTTGAATAAATCTTGCGGAATGTTTACCTCAGTAAGCTCGCCCCATCCATTGGGCCACGCATCCTCTTGATGAACGTCAGTTGGATAGGTCATCACTGGGGCACGATCTCCATGGCGCCAGACCTAGAATTCAAGAATAATCATCATTTTGAGCAATATGAAAAATAGTTCTTACTGAATCACTCACTACTTGAACAAGATGTAGCTTGTCGTTTGGCTTCGGTGTCCGAGCGACAACTGGGATTGGTGGAATCGTAGGGATATAAGGCTCATCACCAAGGACGGAGAAAATACAAGCGAAAAGACAGATCCAGGTAGACAAGTGGCATCTTTCCTGTCTTCCAGACATCTACTAATATGTTCATTTTAAAGGAAATGGTAAAAAGCTTGCATTTTCCAAAAAAGAAGTCACGCCAAACATAAACCCAAAATTGGTAACACTCAGTAGAAGATAACATTACAAGACGTTTTGAAATGCTGGCAGACCTCGAAAACGAACTTGTAGAAAGGTCAGACAGAGTGGAAATCCCACCAAGAAATCTGCTTGACAGGAAGTATTAATCCGTATGAAAAATATTCAGGTTTAAGAAAGGAGGACATGGGGATCAAAGAAAGAATTTGAATGTTCAGAAGTGCTAAGACCAGTGGAACGTGTTCCTGAAGATCTCAGCTCCATAGAACACGAACCCCATAGGCAGCATCCCAAATGGAGATAGAATTCTTGAGATTCGGTTGATTTCGAGCGGGCCGAAAGAAGAAGAGGAAAGAGAAGAATTGCGCTGGAATGACTTCGAAATAGGTTAAAGACCAGCTGATGGCTTCAAAACAATGGAGCAGACCAGGTATTCATAGGTTTCGTGAAGCTGGAGAACGACGACAAGTGGCAGAGTGATGTATCGCCGGTCATTGACCCGACATTGGATTGATAGTCGCTAGGGTACGGCGGCGAACAGGCGTCAGCGCTTGTGGGCTTGGAAACAGAGCCTTGGGCTATGGCAGAGCCGCTTTTCTATCGCTGTGCCATCACGTCCTCAACCTGTCTACACTCCATCTTGGAGCCGCCTTAAAATGTGCCTGACTATAAGAGGTCACAACTTCGATCGCTTTCTTTAGTACGCGCCATGCACACAATTGTTGCTCACAATCCAAAGATTGTCATGCAGTTTTGTTTGACCAATAGCGAATCAAAGTAAACAGGATCCACCGCGGTGGTCGTGTTGAGAAAAAAATCTTCCAACTTTTGCCTTTTCTTGGTACACATGTTTACGTACCACTTTCGTAGCCAAACACACTACCACAGTTTCGGGACTTGTTGAGATGTGCCTGCTGATGGCGGAATTGTGCGCAGATAGGAAATCACTAGCACTTGTTCTGCCAGCAAGTCATTATAATACTTCGTATTTCATGTTAAAGCGCTTCGTCTGTCGTCTGTCGTTCTGTATGTCTGTCACGAAATTCCCTAGCTCCTCGGGATCCGCCTGGAGGGACCGGGTCAAGTGTGGGATGGGTGGGCAAGGTCTCACGAAGTACAAAACACACATCAGCTAAGCGGAGCCCCGCCCACAGTGGGCGTGGCGTGCATCGAAATGAACTGTACTGACGACCAAGATTTCAATTCAGTGACAAAACAACCTCGAAACTGGGCCAAAAAGTGGGTAAAGGTGTGCATTGGTAAGTCACATCGAATTAGGGAGACCCACCCCCGGTGGGCGGGGCGTTCTCCAAAAAAGCAGTGCTTTATGAAAAATTTCATAACTCGGTTGGGAGAAAGCCTACAGAGCAGAAAACAAATTGGTGTAGGGGAGCAATGTCTAAGGTGTTTCCAGCATACATGACGTGGGCGGAGGCCCGCCCACAATGGGCGGAGCGCGCTCTGAAGTGTACAGCGTTTTCTACAAGTCCTCATAATTCGGGCCGGAGAAGTCTTAGTGAGCCGGAAAAAGGTGGATAGAGGTGGGTGGAGGAGTGGAGCCCAACTACTGTTGGTGGGCGGGCATTTCCAAGGTAGGCGGAGTTCTCCACAAAACTTTGTGACTCAGCTGCAGGAAGTGCTGGAGAAGTGAATTCCTAATGGTGTGCGGAGGATACACCAAAAAAGCAGGATTCGCCGCCAAAATATAAATCGGCTCAGAGATAGTTCAGAGATCGGGTAAAAAGTGGGGAGAGGTTGGCGAGGAAGAAAAAGATAGGTGGGACATGCAAAGAAATAGGCGGAGTTTATAAATCGGTCCAGAGGCAGTCCGAGACCGGGAAAAGCGGACAATTGGTTGACGAAGGGGGACAATTGGTGGACGAAGGAGGGAAGGTCAAAAGCCCATCGGTGGATGAAGCATGGGGCAATCGGATAGAATTCAGCTTGAAAGTCAAATATTCGAAGTGTATTGGGCCAAATTCGAGAAATTTACGCCGCACCATCCCATATCGCCGCAGAACTGTGCTGTGCGCGCAACGCGTGCGGCGCCAACTGGTGACCTGGATAAGTTAATAAAGCGAGTAATACCGCATTCTTCTGGTCAGTGTGCAGCTCCCAAAAAGTAACTTTTGATTGTCAGTTAATACTTGTGCAATTTTTTAGTGTCTCCCTGGTTTATTGTATCAGATGCACATAAGCACACAGACTATGACAGATGGGAAGCATTTGATCAGCCGTATACCGGCCAGGACGACGCGGCGTTCTACGACACCGTTGGGGATTCAAAGCTAGAGCTTTCTGAAATTCAGAATTGTTCGGGAGAGGTTAGGTGACTCCTACCACGACCCAAATTTTTAAGCAGTAGAAGTCGACGAAAATTCGTTAGAGCAGAACCAGTTGGTTGGAGCCGAAGCGCCTCTACAGAGTGCAGCTTGCAATTTCCCAAGGGTAGTCCCAGCGGACATTGCTTTGTTCCACAGCGAAATGTGAAATAATGTGAATGTGTAAATGTTAATTAAATTGCCCACTTATATTTCAAAAATATTTATCTGAGCGGAGATGATTGGCATTGGCCAAGGGGCCGCTATCGTGCTCGGTCCTTGGATCAAATTACAAATCCAACCTACGGTCAGCCAAATTTCTATAGATGATTTGTTGTTGTTAGAGGCGGATTAGGTATAACACAATTTTAAAAAAGTCGTATTTTGAAGGTTAAACGATGTAAAGCATCGGCATAGGTTGCAAAAGTGACCAGGAATTCCATTGTCTGCTAAAATAAAAAACTGTTTATTTCAAAAAGTTGTGTGAAAACGGCGCTTCGATGCTTGCCGAGCGCTGCACAAAATGTCTGTGTGTGACTCACGTGAACTCGGATTAGTTTATACCTATCCCCGACCTCATCCAGTATCCATGCCTGCCCGTGGTGGCATTGTTATCTGTCATTCTTCTTGTGTTCGCGTGAAAATGAGCTAGCAGGCTGGGGCACAAACAGGAAGTATTATGCCAGATTTGTAGTGCAAAAATACGATACACATCCATTTATATCCAAAACCCATCTTATGGCATGCTCTGTGGAATTACCTAACATGATCAGGGATCTATCCTTATTCAGTTGCCGTTTGGAACATATAAGGAGCGCGGGGACAATAAACAAATTCTCAGAGAATTTTGCCTTCTCATTAAATGAAAAGCGGGACCAGAGGAAGCATTTGCTGGAATAAATTGAGAAGAAATCTCAATTTCCAGTCAGAATATGCAATTCTAATGGCCAATTCAGGGCGGAAGTGGTGTAGTGGCAAGTGGCACGCTTACCACGCGAGCGGTCCGGGGATCAAATCCTGGGTCGTGAGTCGCCCGGGCCAACCAAGCCTTCCATCCCTCCGGGGTCGGTTAATTGGTACCAGACTTGTCTGGGAGGATAAAAACACTGACTTGTACATCGGCTGGCCCCGCAAGTCATTGTATAGGCCACATCGCATTCAAACGCCACTGGAATGTACAAATGCGTGCCGCATCCCAAAAAGGGATTGATCAACGGCAAATGCTTTAATTTTTTCCTCCTCACCCCTTTTGCTTTCGCAAAATCAGGACCTGAAAGCCCAAATGCAAAGAGTGGACCGCAAAAAATGCAGTGAAAACCCAAATGTTGTCCTGGGTTCGAAATGGATGTGTTGTTAGCAGCAACATTTCTATAGATAAAGCGGCTGCGATCGCTCAGCAATAAGGTGGATAGGAGGGGGAGAGGACAAGGAAAGGGAAAGGCCTCTTTGCAAACCAGGGAGAAGAATCTTCTGAGCAATGACCAAAGAACGTCACCGAGTGGATCGAGGCATTTTCAAAGAGATGTTTCTCTGCTCACTGATGTTTATAAAGGAAACAGTAGTTTTTCGGCACTGTTTTGCACGCCATCCTTATCAGGAGTGTCCTTAACTGCTCGAATGCTCTTCACACAATCGTCTGTTGGCAGGCATCGATGCAAAAATTATGCCAGAAAATCTTCTCTAGCTACGTGGACGAAAAGTGTGAGAGAGCACCACGGACCAAAGATCCAATTTAACGGCCTCCTGCCTGTGGCAAGGGCTACTACCACCGGACAATTTTCGCTTCGAATAACGCCGTTAAAAAACTGCTCTGCAGATATGGCAAGCAGTTCTGAGTTCGGCGCTTTAAGAACACCGCTATGACCTACGGCTCATTCCAAATAGTTGAGCCAACGTATTGGCCTTCCCTGGTGAGCTATTCTTGGAAAAATGCTCACAACGCATGAAATTTCCCAGAAGAAATGGTTGTTTTGGGAATTTATTGAGTGTGAGTAGAAATTCCACATGTAAAATCAGACAGACTGAATTCGTACGAAGAAGAAGCGACTTTTCGCTGTGCGTGAAAGACAAATGCTTAAAAAGGAGGCTTGTTAAACGTCTAGGAATCAACAAACAACAATGTTAGGAAAGATTACTAGCACAACGGCAATACGGAGGTGACCGTATTTAGCGAGTTCGAGTGCGATCACCGAATACGGGTCCACAGCAAGGTGCACTGTGTGAACTGTTCCTTGGTCCTAAGGCTAGTACCTTCTTCTGAGCCACTGAGGTTCTTTCAACCCATTGAGTCACTAAGGCTACCGCCAGAGAAACTCAGGCTCCCTATAACAAGCTACACTCAGGCTCAGGCTAACTCAGGCTCTTCTCACTATGCCACTAAGGCTATCTCTCGGCCACCTCTATGAAGCCACAAAGGGTGAGGATAAGAATTGATTTAGCCCTGAGAATGACTAAAATTGAAGAAGGACAAATTGAAGGACTGGAAGAAGTTGGAAAATCCATTGGGTCCAAATTCTCGATTGGCAACATTGCTGGAAATGTCGCGATGTGACCGGAACTCTTATCAACGCTCAAATGGTTTCCGGGAGCTTTTCGCAAGGGGTAACAATAGAGATT